GTGTGTGTGTGTGTGTGTGTGTGTGTGTGTGTGTGTGTGTGTGTGTGTGTGTTTGGGGGGGTTGTTTTGTTTTGGGGGTTATTCTTGGGGATTTTTTATTGTTTTGGTTTTTTGGGGGGTTTTTTGTTTTGTTTTGTTTTGTTTTGTTTTTTGGTCTCTTCACTGCTGATTTGTTTATAGAAATGATAGCTGTTATTAAAGGTTAAAATTTCATTCATGTGTTAAAAGTTTTCTCTCCTGATAGAGTAAAAGGGGGGTGGATTCTTATTTGGGTCCCTCGACCTTAATAAGATTTACATAAGTGGCCTACCTTCCCACAGCCCAGGTTTCCTGGTTCTGAAGCGGGTGTTGGGAGTGAAGGAGCTGGCTCCAGGATGGTGGCTGGTGCAGAGAGCAGAAATGCCCCTGTAGACTGAGGAGGGGCATTTCTGGATCACTGAATGATCACTGAGGATCACTGAATGCCAGCAGTCGCCCTGAGGGCCTGTGCCCAGAGGCTCTGCGCCCCTGCACCACACTGGCGGGTTCTTCTGGTTGTACAGCACTCCTGAGCCCTGGAGCTTGAGTCAAACACTGTAAATCTGTCCTAACCATGTTCAGGGGGGCAGTGGTCCATCGATGTGTGGTAGTGAGTGCATCTGGTGTATTTCTGAGATTCACTTAGTGCTGGCAAATACCCCGTCTGAAATGAACACGTGGTGGTGTTCCATTGGTGATGTAATTACCAGTTATTTTCTTGTTTTGTTTTGTTTTCTGGTTTGACTTTTTATTACAGGTTTTTCAGCCACTTGCATTTAACATTCTTTTTTTTTATGATGAAAATGTTTGTAATTTCTTTTTTTTTTTAATAAAATCATGACTTTTTTTTACTATGTTTTACAACTATGATATGATTCCCAATGGATTTCTTTTTTTCTTTTTCTGGTATTTTTTTTATTAATTACAGTTTATTCAGTTTGTATCCCTCCTGTAGCTCTCTCCCTCCTCCCCTCCCAATCTCTCCCCCTTCTCCACCCATGTCCCTCCCCAAGTCCACTGATAGAGGAGGTCCTCCTCTCCTTCCCTCTGATCCTAGTCTATCAGGTCTCATCAGAAGTGGCTGCATTGTCTTCCTCTGTGGCCTGGTAAGGCTGCTCCTCCTCCTCAGGGGGAGGTGATCCAAGAGCTGGCCAATCAGTTCATATCAGAGACAGTCCCTGTTCCCATTACTAGGGTACCCACTTGGACACTGAGCTGCCATGGTCTACATCTGTGCAGGGGATCTAGGTTATCTCCATGAATGGTCCTTGGTTGGAGTATCAGTCTCAGAAAAGACCCCTGTGCCCAGATATTTTGGTTCTGTTGCCCTCTTTGTGGAGCTCCTGTCACCTCCAGGTCTTTCTATCTCCCCCTTTTTTCATAAGATTCCCTGCACTCTGCACAAAGTTTGTCTATGAGTCTCAGTATCTGCTTTAATACCCTGCTGGGTAGAGTCTTTCAGAGGCCCTCTGTGGTAGGCTCCTGTCCTGTTCCCTGTTTTCTCCCTCTTCCGATGTCCATCCTCTCTGCCTTTCTGAACAGGGATTGAGCATCTTAGCCAGAGTCCTCCTTCTTTCTTTAGGTGTACAGATTTTAGTATGTTTATCCTATATTATATGTCTAATATCCACTTATGAGTGAGTATATACCCTGTGTGTCTTTCTGCTTCTGGGATACCTCACTTAGCAAGGACATTTGTTCAACCATGTTTGTAGCAGCTTTATTTGTAATAGCCAGAACCTGGAAACAACCCAGATGTCCCTCAGCTGAGGAATGGATACAGAAAGTGTGGTACATCTACACAATGGAATACTACTCAGCAATTAAAAACAAGGAAATCATGAAATTTGCAGGCAAATGGTGGGAACTGGAAAAGATCATCCTAAGTCATAACCCATTATAATGAAAGCAGTGCCCTTCAGACATCATTAAATCCCAGTTTCGGGTCTGGTGTGAAACGGGTTCTGAATTGGACGTCTCTTCTTTTCACCTGCCTGCTGTGATTCAGGGTGTGAGCCACAGAAGCTCCCTGGGTTTCCACGTCTCTGGCTCTGCCCCACACTGCCACAGAAGCTCCCTGGGTTTCCGCGTCTCTGGCTCTGCCCCACACTGCCATAAGATGCTCTG